CCCGCTTCCTCCCCACTGCTCCCTTCCTCCCTTCCCCGCATCCCTCGTGCCGCCCCTGTCCCCCCTCGGCCCACCTCTCCTCCAACCTCCCACCTAATTCCCTCCCCGCGCGCCCGCGCCGCTCGCGCCGCAAGCTGCAACCGCAACCCACCTGCGCCTCGCAGCCCTCGCAGAACCGCTCCCTGGCCAACCTGCACGAGCTCACGGAGCGCATCGCAGACTTGCTCCAAGTCTCCTCCATCGACGACCGCTCCGCCCTCCATTGCCCCAAGGACGCCCCCCTCGGCTACCTCTCCGCCTCCACGCATGTCGCCGTCGTCTTCGGAAAGCATCTCATCAGGGATCAGGTCACCGTCGAGTATGCAAAGCGCATCGTCACCCTCGTCAAGCAAATCGCCTCGGGCGCACTCAACCCCGACGTCATCTGCTTCACAGGTGGGAAGGGGCTCGCCGATGACGGCTGCATCTCTGAGGCTGTCGCCGGCTATTCTTTTTTCAGAAGCGTCTGCGAGGAGGCCCAGGTCGATCTCGCTCGCTTTCACTTCATTTTAGAGGAGAAAAGCCATAACACAAAGGAAAATCTTGGTAACGTCATTGAAGAGTTGCGTCGTCGCGGCGGCTCGCATGCCGTCTCAGCCTGCCATTTCACCCTCGTCAGCAGCGATTACCATCTCATTCGTATCCAGGAGGTCCACCGTCTCAGCCCTCGGCAGAGCGTCCTCTTCCCGCTTGAGGTCTCATCGACCACATGGAACTGCATTTTTGCCGCCTACCCTTTCTGCGTCAGCCGCGATCCCGCCACCGCCTTCCTCGGTCGCGCTGTCGTCCTTGCCAATGATCTTGGCATCGTCCTCGTCAACCTCAACGGCGCCATTGATGATCGTCATTTTATGTCCAAGGAGAATCTCTACAGGCTTGGCGAGACTTTTGCAAAGATGCGCGATATGTATCGTGTCATCGATTCCCGCACCGCTTCCTCGGGGGGCTTCCGTACGGATATGCGGAGCTACGCTGAGACCCTGGAGCTCGCCATTCACGACATTCGCGAGGCCCAGACCTTGCTCAATCCGCTCAATGAGACGGGCGCCTCGGTTCCGCATTCGCATCTCGAGCTTGCACGAGACCTGCTCAAGCAGACGATTACAACGATGCGCTCGTCAATGGACCCGGATCGCGTGCTTCGTGTGCATGACCGCATGGCCATTTATGACGACATGACCAACTTTGTCGCTGAGCAACGCCTCAAGCCAAGAGGAAGCTCGGCGGCATCTGGCTCTTCACTGCCGGGTCTAGAGGGGCCGGGGGCAGACGCGGTGGGTGGACCGGGTGAGGGCATCAAGAATGATGCAAAGAGAAGTTTAAGCGATTTAAGTGGCGAGGAGGAACCTTCGCCCTTTGAGTCTGACGACCAGTCGCCGAAAAAGCAGGCTACGTCAAGGAAACGTCTCAGTATGTCCAACTCGAGCGAAGTGACATGGCGTGGGCAAGCCATGTTTAAGGGCAATGGGAAGAGGATCACGCGGGATGGGCCGCATCTCGTTATTACCGACAGTGGCTTACCACCATCGCCGGCGATATCGCCACGCGTGAAGCCGGCGAGACGGCGAACGGTTATGCACAGCGACAGCCTGGCGGGGCGGTTGGCTACTGCAGAACAGTCGCAAAACACGACGACAACCAGAGCGCGGGCTACCCGAGCGAGAAAGACAAGAGCGACAACTACAGTTTCTGCGAAGAAACGGAAACCAACCTCGCGAAAGCTGGCAAGTCCCACCGCTGGTGAAACTGCATAGGCCAGACGGAGCTGGACCTTCCGCCTTTGACGGGTCCAACGCACAAAAGCGCTATTGCACACAAGTGAAAGGAACAAACCTCCTACAAGTCCTGTCGTCTGGAGCTTCTTGTGACAGATAGAGATGAGGTAGTCTCTATGATGCTCGTAGGGCATGACTACCACTGAACGTCGTGTTCACTGTGTGGTGAAGTTGGCATTTTTATTATTATTCTCTGACTCAGTCTTTGCCCTACATGTTCGTTCAACTGGCCGCAACGTTTTATAACCTTCTTCTGGAAAGTGGTTTGCCGCAAATGGGGGCTTGATTACTGGGGCGGCCCCCTCTCTAATTGTTACACGATAAATAGGCTCAAGAAGGCGGTCCCGACATGAAAATTAAACGAATAGTTCTATGTTCTCAGACTTCGGACCTTGGGTTGATGTACAGTATGATGGTTAATTGAGAGCATGGAATTGGATGGCTAAGAATTGTGATTATTTGAGATTTGCAGTGCAAATTGCAGCCTGCAATTAGACGATGGGCCTGCAAATTTGAAGGAAGCTCCTCGAAAGCCAATGAGATGACCCGCCGGCCAGCCTGCTCACTTGAGCTCATGAAAAATCACCCGCACAAAAATTATACTCCGTGATTGCATGACCGAATGCACAACCCTCGTTCCGCCCTGCCCGGAAAATCGCAATTTTCACTCTCCCCGTGATACTTCATTGCGAAAATCCACTTCACTTCCATCCACGTCCCTGTGAACGTCACCAAGGAATTAGGAATAGGCGTCAACCGCGGCCTTTCTCATGCATCTCAAACTTCAATGCTCCACTCTCAAGGGACAACAGCGCCCTGCCTAAAATGAATCTCAAATGTCCACGTCACCCGCCATCCCGTCTCAGGCCACTTCATGAATGTTTCCTTTTTGTTCACTATCGCGCAAACCAGAAGGACTAGTCCACGAAACTGGTCACCCTAACTTAGTTCCATCGACACTCTCATTTTACAATTATCCTTGTCATCTGTCTACCAACTATCGAACCCAAAGCATACCTTGAAGAAACAAATTCCTTCTTTCTCAACTTTTCGCCAACTCATCGACCTTCTGCAACATACCCAAGCCCCGCCCACTATCCCAACCGTGCTGGGCCAAACTCATTGACATCTCTGATACAATGACCTTTCTTTCCTGTTCTCAAACCTATGTCCAAGGCGTGCGCGGTAAATGCGTGGGCCCGTACGAGCTGCTGGATACGCTTGGCAGCGGCAACTTCGGCAAAGTGAAGCGCGCTCGTCACATATACTTGGACACCTTCTTCGCCATCAAGATCGTCGAGAAGTCGGTTCTCGTCGACAACATCTCCGGCAACATGGACATCCGCCGTGAGATGAGCATTCTGCGTGCCCTCGACCACCCGCATATCGTCAGTCTTCAAGAAGTCATGCACTCGCGACACCGCGTGTACCTCGTCATGGACCTCGCCTCAAGGGGCGATTTTTACGATCTTCTCAAAAAGCACGGGCCCTTTGCGGAAAACCAGGCCAGGATTTATTTTGCGCAGCTCGTGGATGCAGTCGCCTATTGTCACGAGAGAGGCGTGTTTCACCGCGATTTGAAGCCTGAAAATTTGCTTCTTGACGCGCAAGGGGACTTGAAAGTGACAGACTTTGGGTTTGGCGCGATGCAGGACCGAGCAGGGACGGTTTTGCGCACGTCCTGTGGGTCGCCCCATTATTGTGCTCCCGAGGTATGGGGCGGACAAGACGGATATGATGGACGAAAAGCGGATGCTTTCTCCGCTGGTGTCATCTTGTACACGTTGGTGGCTGGCGGACAGCCGTTCAATGACGAAAAGGACTGGAAGGTATTAAAAAAAGTAGCAAAATGTCAGCCATCGTACCCGGACAAGATGTCTGTGGAGTTGGTGGACTTGCTTGAGAAGCTGATTGTGAAGAAGCCGGCGGAGCGGTGGGACTTGCAAATGGTGAAGAATCACCCTTGGCTGGCCAGGACGAGCTTGTATGAGAGGCAATCAGTGCTGATGAAGAAGGAAATGGGGTTCGTATTGGTGGGAGGGTGCAACCAGGAGGGTAGAACGCAGGGGGTGTTTTCGCGGATGTTTGGGAAGAGTGACGCAGAGGAGGGATGGGAAGGAGGGGAGGTGGGTTCGTGCCATTCGTGGGCAGTGCACAGTGACCCGTTGCTCATTTTGTGACAGTTGAGCGGGTGGGTACCTGTGGACAAAGTGGAGAAGTTGCAATATGCTGGTCGCTTGTATGCTTGTAGTTGCAGAAGCAATCACGGCGTATATGTCGTCGAAGAGGATTCAACGTAAAATGAATGGGCGCATGAAAAACTAGCAAACAGGACTTTGAGAAACGAAGACACTAATCAATGGAAATAGACTGAAGCTATGGTACATATTGGTGATGATCGCATGACAGGGATGGCAAAAAGGCGATGGCGAAAGAGAGAGGGCGCAGAGATCCACGTCACAAAGACGTTGCTAAGGCACATTGGCAGGCAAATGTGCTTGTCACGAAAAGTTAACTTTTTTGCATAAACCCCACACGATCACACACATGACTCCCGAATCGCGAGTTCATTGCCGGTTTCCTCTATTGCTGTGGCTAACTAGACACCTCTCCTTCCGACCTCCACATTCTTCATCTCTTCACCCATCATCCCATTAAATCCCTTCTGTTTCTTGACAATCGGCAAGTTCGGTCTCTCTCCCTGATAACATCTGCCACCGCATCACTCCATCACAATGACACTTCATCGTCGCACTGCACCAACCCGCCCGCCCCCCTTTGTCCCAAATCCTCAACTCACAGTGCCCTTCATCCCTCCTCTAGTCCTGGTCTCCCACGGCCCACTGCCATCCACTACCCCCAGCCCCTTTCTCTCCGGTGTCTTTTGCCCCAACCGTCCGCTTCCGCCCCTCCGTCGTACCCTCCTTCCTCCTCCTCGCCAGCGAATGGCACCAATGCCTCCCCGCGCTTCCCTGGCCGCCGGCTTCGGCATATCCCAATTGGAGGATACGGGCGCTGCCGTCATGGAAGCCGTCAGGGCCGCCAAGGTCTCCGTTCCCTCCCCCGTCGTCGCCCTCGTTACGTGCGCGGTCTCGCGCCCCGTTCCCGTTGTCTTCGACGCCGTGTCCTCCCTCCTCCCGGCCGTCTCCCTGCACGGCGCCACGACCTGCGCAAGCCCGCTCACCACGTCCGGGTCTGCGCCGGGCGGCGTCGCTGTGCTCCTGCTGGGCGACGCTGACATGGCGACGGCGGCCGCCAGCGCGAGCGAGGGCGGCTTTGCGGCCGGTAGGCAGGCTGCGGAAAGGCTCGCGCAGAAGATGGGGGGGATGGAGAAAGTCGTTAACGTCATCCTGCAGGCCACACCCGGTATCGAGGAGGACGTCCTCAAGGGCGTCGCAGACGTGCTCGGCACCACGCCCGTGTTTGGCGGCAGTGCGGCGGACGATACGGTGGAGGGGAACTGGCGACTCATGAATAGCGAGACCGGTGTGATGGAAGGGGGGGTGAGTCTGGTCGGGTTAGGGGCGGATGTTGGGTTTGGCGCGTGTTTGTTACCACCATATACGGCTGGGGTAAAGGAGGCCAAAATTACGGGGGCGTCGGGAAGGTCGATTCAAACGTTGAATGGGCGGCGGGCCGCGGACGTGCTGCGGGAGTGGGTAGGGGAGAGCATTGACACACAAGCGAGGGAGGGCGGGAACGTGATTGTGGAATGCGCGGCGTTTCCGTTGGGAGTGAGGAAGGAGAACGGGGCATTTGTGGGAATTCATGCGGCGGAGATTGATGCGTCGGGCGCAGTTGGGTTGTTTGCGGAAGTGAGCGAGGGGGAGACGCTCACGGTGATGGACAAGATGGGGGAGGGGGACTCAGCCACCGCAGCGAAGATCGGACTGGAGCAGGCATACCAGACGGCGGTTAAGGATGGCAAGTTGAGTGATCCCAAGGCGGGGGTGTTAATATATTGCGGGGGATTGAGCATTGCGGTAGGGGATCAGCTCGACGCGAGCCTTGAAGCTTTGAAAGGGAAACCGCCTATGCTGGGGATGACGGCGTTTGGAGAGCAGGGGAATATGGATGGGTGCAATGTGCACTCGAATCTTGCAGTTGGAATCGCACTGTTTGAATAACACGGTATTGCCCTGATACTAACGGTCATGCTCATGGCCTGTCATTAGTCGCACCTTGACCTAACAGTAGCTTCAAGAACGAGTCCAACAGCTAGCAGGCGTCATGTCGCTCGCAGCTAGGCAAACCATACGACCGACTATTTGTTGGCGTGTATTGTCATGTACGCAGTCGCGACGTACACTCGTTTATTACTGTATACGAAAACAAAAATAGAGAATGTGCTTTGTGCACCTATGGATCTGGCTCCTTGGTCTTCAAGGTAACAATTTCCTCTGCGCTGACGGGATGGACTGGCATAGTGGCATCAAAATCGGCCTTTGTAGCGCCAGCCTTCATGGCGACGCCGACGAGCTGAATCATGTCGCCCGCAGCGGCGTCCATCATGTGACATCCCACGACGACATCCGTCGCCCTGTCGACGATGAGTTTCATGAAAACCTTTTCGCCTGTGCGCTTGGTCATGGTATGCTTCATGGGGTTGAACTTAGTCTTATACACGTCGATACCGGTCTGTCCGTACTTTTCCCTGGCCTGTTCCTCGGTGAGGCCGCAGGTGCCGATGGTCGGGGTGGAGAAGACGGCGGTGGGGATGTTGTCATAGTTCGTGTTGCGTTTTTTGTTTCCGTATAGCGTGTCCGCAAGGGCGTTGCCTTCGTGGATGGCGACTGGGGTGAGACAGACGCGGTCCGTGACGTCGCCGATGGCGTAGATGTTGTCGACGTTGGTCTTGCTCCAGTCGTCGACGATGATCTTGTCGGATTTGCCCGTCGCGACACCTGCCGCTTCCAAGCCGAGATCGTTGACCAGTGGAACTCGTCCCGTGGCGTACATGACGAGGTCGGTTTCGAGGACTTGGCCGTTGTTAAGCGTGACCTGTAAGCTGCCATCGGGATTCTTGACAACCTTTGTAATCTCGGTTTTAAAGCGCAAGTCAATACCCTGAAGCTCCATTTGCTCCGCCAAATGAGTTCTGACGTCCATATCAAAGCCCCTCATGAACAAATCCTTCCTATATGATAGGACGACATCCGAACCATATCCGCTAAAAATGTGGGCAAACTCAACAGCAATATATCCACCGCCAACCATACATACCCTTTTCGGCAAGTTTGGCAAATAGAAGGCCTCATTGGACGTGATGACATGCTCCCTCCCTTCAAACTCCGGCACAAACGGCTTGCCTCCAGTGGCGACGAGGATCTTATCCGCCGTGAAGGTATCCTCCCCCACCTGGACCGTATGAGGGTCGAGCAGCTTAGCGTGTCCGTACACGATCTGGACGCCGGCCTTCCCAAGCATCCTGCCGTATATGCCGTTGAGGCGCTCGATCTCTGCGTTTTTCGTGGCAATCATGCGTGGCCAATCGACGGTTGGCTTCCCGGGGACGTCCCATCCGTATGCCTTTGCGTCGTCGAAGTCATGGCCGTAGTGGCTGCCGTAGACGAAGAGCTTCTTCGGGACGCAGCCGACGTTGACGCAGGTGCCGCCCAGCGGGCCAGACTCTGCGACGACGACGCGTGCGCCGTAGTTTGCGGCGATGCGGCTGGCGCGCACGCCACCAGAGCCGGCGCCGATGACGAAGAGGTCGTACTGGAAGCCGTGCGCGAGGGTGTCGCGGGCCACCGTGGCGGCGGCGTCGGTGGCGATTCCCATGGCGACGTGGGCGCGGCGGGGCGGGTGCGGGGCGCGGCGGAGCGGCGACGGGCGGGCGCAGAGGGAGCTGCGCAGGGCGGTGGTGAGGCGGGCGCGCACGGCAAGCGACGGGACGAAGGCTGTCATGGCCCTAAGTGCAACAGCGGCAGGTGACACGATTGCAAAGGGACCGCGGCCGTTTTTTCTCCGAGTCAGAGGTCGCGCTCCCCAGTTTCTCCGCTCCCCAGTTTCTCCGCTCCCATTCCTCTTCCATGCCGGAGATCTCTCCACGTGTATTCCACGTGTATACGTGCCCTTGTGTAAGAGCCCTTTCTGTAATGCGAGCCCTCATCCCTCCACGTGTACACGTGCACATATGTAAGAACCGCCTTCTGTAATGAAATCTCTCGCCCTTTTTGCCCATCGCTCCGCCCATTCCTGCTCCGCCCTGGTCATCAACAGCACCGATCCGTCTCTCTAACCCCCCGCGATGTCGCGTCTCCTCGGCACAACTTTGCCCGCGTCCAAGAACCTGTGGGTGGCGCTGCAGCGGGTGTACGGGCTGGGCGAGTCGCGCGCGCGCTCGCTGTGCTTTGCGATCGGCGCCACCCCGTTCACCAAGACGTCCGAGCTGCGCCCGTTCCACCTGAGCCAGCTGTACGCGGCCGTCGAGGCGCGCTACACGGTCGGCAACGACCTGCGCGCGGCCAACCGCTCCGCCATCCAGCGCCTGATAGCCATCCGGTCGTACCGCGGCATGCGCCACCTGCAGCGCCTGCCCGTGCGCGGCCAGCGCACACACTCTAACGCCCGCACGCAGAAGAAGATGCGCCCGCCTACCTCGCGCCCCGCACGCCCCTAGCCAACCGCGAAAGCCCGCCGTCAACCCCCCAGCCCGCGTGGCCCCGCGCTTCGCCCGGTCCAGGCCCCAGAGCCGCGAGACGGTACCGCCATTCCCGATGCTGCTGGCGTGACAACGATACGTGCTTGCATCAAAAAAAAAAAACGGTTGCTGCCTTCCGAATCTGTAAATTTACCTCTCCCACAATCTCCGCTTTTTCGTCTCCACGCCCTCCTCCCTCGCGCCATTGCCAAACGAAACCCTCCCTCCACCGCCAACACCCCCGCCTCCGCCTCCTCCACGCGCCCGCCCATTCCACCGGCAACCCCCCTCCGCAACAGTATAGCCGTACCGCCCGTCCCCACTCCTACCGTCCCCCTCCTGCGATGGGCCGCGTCTTCCGCAAGTTCCTCGAGTCGAAGCGCGTGTACTCGTGCCATACGTGCGACGCCCACCTCGCCGACGAGGAGCACATCATCTCCAAGTCCTTCCAGGGCCGCCTCGGCCGCGCCTTCCTCTTCGAGTCCGCCATCAACATCTCGCGCGGCCCGGAGGAGAGCCGCGTCCTAATGTCCGGCGTCTACAAGGTCGCCGACATCTGCTGCAAGGTGTGCGGCGCCCTGCTCGGCTGGGAGTACCTGGAGGCCAAGGAGGAGAGCCAGAAATACAAGGAGGGGCGAATACTCCTCGAGAAGACCCGCCTCACCCGCACCGGCAACTGGTAGCGCTTCCCACGTCCCCGAGTCCGCTTCCGCTCTACCCATCAGCTCCCTGGCGGCAGAACGGCGCCCTCGAGCCCGCGCGTCACGTCGCCCCTGTCGAACTGATCGATGCGCACGCCGCCGCTGCGCAGCAGCGGCTCTGCGGCGCCGTCGGTGGCGTACCGCGTCTCGAACACGATGCGACGGATGCCAGACTGCACAATCTTCTTTGCGCAGAGTATGCACGGGAACAGGTTGGTGTACAAGATCCCGCCTTCGCATCGCTCCCGCCCCGCCTCGATGATCGCGTTCTCTTCCGCGTGCAGGCACAGACACAGGTCGAGGCCCACGCCCTGGCTGCTGGCGGCCCCGTTGCAGCGCCCGCAGCCCCCGTCCAGGCAGTTTGTCACGCCGGATGGCGTCCCGTTGTACCCCGTCGCTACAATCCGCTTGTTGCGCGCGATCACGCAACCGACCCGCCGCTTCATGCAGTTTGTCCGCTCCGCGGCTAGCTTGGCTAGCGACATAAAGTATGTGTCCCAGCTGGGTCGCAGGCGTTCCTTATCTGTAAAGTTGAACGTCCGTAGCTCCGTACGTAACTTGGCCAATGTTGAAAAGTCGTTGTGGATGCGCAGACGCGATAGCCGTTCCAGCCCGGAAAGGCTGTAGCGGCAATGCAATCTCCCGCCGGGCGAGTTTGCTCTTTCACTCGCATAACAACACGCTTCCGTATGACGCGATGGGGGATAGCGGTCGTGATCATCGAGCCGGGCGAGTTGTTCCCAACCGTCTTTCGGAACAAGGTCGCTGGTAACAGCTCGTCTTAAGCGCGTGCGGAAGGTGGCGTCCAGAAAGACAAGCAGAAAATAGGGGCGTTTGAGCAGGGTGGGGAGGCATGGATGGTGCGGACGGATGTTTCGGATCACGACGTTGATGTCGGGCTTCCAGCATTGCCGGAGAAGGCGGTGAGATGGGATGATGTGTTGCGTCTCCTTTATATCGGTTACGTCGTTTGCGTCGATTTCGTTGCTTTTGTCGTTTTCGTCGCTGTCACTGGCATCTTCTGGCGAGCTAGACATGAGGGCCTCGGCGTTTTCGATCATGTGGAAGCCATGCTCTTCCACAAGGAATTCGGCCAGCGCGCGCTTGCCAACGAAGTGTAGGCCGCAGAGACCGATCAGCATTGGTACTGGGCAATAGAAAGCGAGGCAGTGATAACTGTAAGAAGAATTAGATTGGTGGCTTGATCTCACACTGCTCGGATGGAGGGGATGTCGGTGACGAGGAGGTTGTGTTTGTGTTTTGTGTTTTTTTTTTTTTTTTTCTTTTGCGCAGATCGAGTCTTTCCAAGACGCGCGGCGGGCTTTTCGGCGTGCCCTTCACGCATGGGAGGGTTGAAGTCGGGGCACGTCTGGAGGGCGCGGATGAGATGAATGGGATGGAGGGTTGGTGATCAAGAGTACGGCGGGTGGTTGTGCACGGGAAACGGGAAGACAGGGGCTCCGAAGTCGTAATAATTTTGCATTGGTAGCAATGAGGCGAACACGTGTGATCGTGTTCGGGTGATCGTGTTCGGGCACCGGCGATGAGCCCAGGCCATGACGGCAGACAAGGCCAAGACGGGGTGGTCTCTCCCTCTCTCTGACGTTTTGGTATCATTGGGATTAATACCACAGCTGTCTATTTGTTGGTGGGCTCTACCGTATTCTGCCTCGTGCCCTGCCTCGTGCCCTTCTCAGAATCGCCTCCCAGGGAAGCGAAGGTGAATTTGGATGTGGGTAGACGGTGTCATCATTCCCTGCACATGCATGTCAGTATACGTTGGGGCTGTTTTAATTGCTAGTTGCTACGGCCGTGCACATGAATCAAGTAGTTGGTTAGCACTGTTGTTGTTGTGTTTTAGTTGTGGCATCGTTGCATAGATATTACATGTCCGAATCAGGTGTTTAGTACAGTACGTAGGTATGCTAGTCTTCTTCGACTGTGTAAGGTGAGTACGGGCAGTGATGCGGACAGCACTAGAGGATGAATTTTGAAAAACACATGTTTCGCGTGATTGTTACTTTTGAGGTCTTTGCCCTCTTGTTGGTTCTTCCATCAACGTCAAAAAAAAAAAAAAAAAAAAAACGGCAAGCCCTTTCTTTTCAAACGAGATAACATACAGTACCGTTGGGTACTGTACGTGTAGGGGCGATTTTGTTTCCCATGGCGAGCTGAGTGAAGCTATCAGGGCGAGGTTTTACCCTTGCGAGATTGAATTTGGTGCAGTACGTAGATGATACCTTTCAAAACGAAACTGGAAGTGCCATGCCTGCAAGTAATGGAAGTTAGTGCTTTAAGGTGTTAACTAATGTCAACTACAGTACCCTTCGGTAGACTGGATCGGACAGACGAGGAAGTGTTTTTTGTAAGCGAGTACAAGTATGACGGGAATGGATATTTGTTGAGGTTTTACAGAACTGAGACTACCGAAGGGTACCGACACACCGGGATCACTTGTTCGGAAAAACGTTGCGGCAATCATGCGGAGGGTGAGGGGTGTGTTGCACTTTTAAAAATTGTTTTCGTCAAGTGCACGACCTTAACAGGGTGTGTTGTACCAATGGGTGCGAGATGGAAACAGGGTGTGTCCATTTGACGCAGCCTGTCATGCAGCAGTCGATGGTATTGCCAGCTACAGTTGCGTAGTGGCAAACGCTAAAAAAAGCTGGCCTCATATGAAGGCATACCTGACCTCATATGAGGCGAAATGCTTGTCATCTACACATCACGGTGGGCCGTGAAGCCGGCGCTGGCAATCGAGCGGAAGGGAAAGAAGCGAAACCGGGGGCGTGCGAAGCGCGGGGGGGGCGATGGCCCACCTCCCAGCTGCAATGGCTGCGATGGCCACCGAGGCAGCGGGGCACGGCCGGCTGGGGGGCTGGGGGGGGGGGGGGGCTAACCTTTGTACAAGAAAATC